GAGAGTTCAATATTAATATACATAATATTAATCTTAGTTTTTGCTAATGCTCCTTTCTTACATCTAGAGATGTACTTGAGAGGGCTGGTGGTTATTTGTTTTTTTCTTCTCCAAAAGTTTCAAACAGCCCTCTGACATTTTTGTTTTTTGTTAATTTTAAGTAAAATATTGAAGCATGATTTGAGCTGACTAACCATCTGTAAATATCTGCTTTTTTGTACAGATGGACGTCGTTGTGAACACTCTCAGCAGTAACCTGAATCTCAGCGGAGAAGCTATTTTAGATGCCCTTCTCAAAGCAGCTGGTCCTCAGCTTCAGGTTCTGCTCAATCAGCAAGTCACAGGTTCTGCCAATAATGGAGCAGTCTTTGAAACTGCAGGTGGAAACCTGAAGAACAAACTGGTGTTCCATGCTGTTGTACCCCACTGGAATCAGGGACAAGGGAACGATCAGAAGGTAATACGCATTGATTGGTTTCTGGTGATTAGTAATTTAAAAATTGATGCTTTTAATTATGTTTTTATTTTCTTTGAGCAGGTGCTGGAGGATATTGTGGATAAGTGTTTGGGTCTGGCAGAGCAGCGTCAGCAGAGCTCTATTTTATTCTCTGCCATTGGCACAGGAATCCTGAGGTTTCCAAAGCCACTGGTGGTCTGCAATATGCTGGACTCTGCCTTCAAGTTTAGCAGTAAAAGAAGTTCAAAGCATGTGAAGGAAGTGGTATTTGTTCTTCACCCCAAAGATGCAAAAACCATTCAGGTACCTGATGTCATATCAGCCTTTTTTTAGATCCATATGAGTTATTTTCACCTCAGTAATACTATATGTGACCCTGGACCACAAAACCAGTCATAAGGGTACATTTTTCGAAATTGAGATTTATACTTCATCTGAAAAATCAATCATTTTGACCCATACAATGTTTTTTTTTTGGCTATTGCTACAAATATACCCCAGTGACTTAAGACTGGTTTTGTGGTCCAAGGTCACATATGTCATCCACAACAGGTATTCACAGATGAGTTTAGCAAAAGGTTTTTGGGCCAGTCTGCCTCTACCTCAGCAAGTAACCCCACACAGCCACAGAGCACAGGTGCTCAAACTATACTTCTTATACAAAACATTTGCGCAATCACTTATAACTAACAGATCTCACTGTCATTTTTAATAGATGGAACGAAGTCAGTCAATTACCCTTCATATAATACCTTTCCATAATGTTGATTTAGTTCTGTTGAATTTTACAATGAAATTACAGGCCCCTTCTCAAAGGTCATAAGAAAATCTTGGATTCACGAGAGCGTTTGAGTTAAAACAGAGAAAATAAAAACAAATTTGATCTTAAACGTTCAAGGTGTCTCAAAGGCTATTTTGGATAAGGCTGGTCCAAACGTAGAAGCTGAGTGCCAGCAACTCGGTGAGAAGCATGCTTTCGCTCCTAAACTAAAATATTTAATCAGAATGAAATAATAAAATAATTAAACATTAATCAATAATTTAATAATATTTTCACATGCTCTAAAACTTTAGCAAGTCTTATAATTCTAATTCATGTACGTTGCCAGGGAAAAAAAGATCAAAAAGTGAAAAAGATCATCCACATTTCAGCACAGAGCAATGCTCTTATAATCCAAAAACATGTTAAAAAGGCTCTGGAAATGTGTGCCAAGGAAAAGTTGACCGCCATTGCATTTCCAGCTATTGGTACAGGTGAGAACAAACTCAACAAGAGAAATAAACACCTGAGAGGGAACAGAATAGTGTTGTTAATCTTTGTTAAAAAAAATGACTGTCCTTACATATAAAGTGAAGGCATGTGAATACAAGTTGTAGTACTGTTTTTGTACATTTGTTTGTTCATTTATTTTTCACTTTTGACAACAAATGCTTTATTTTTTTATTGATTATATTATATATAATCAATCAACACATTAATTTTGGCAGCCCTAATTATTACATTATCTATATATTGTCAATGCAACACTTTCACTGTAATCATGAACATGGATTTTAGTCACGTGTCTTTCTTTTTCCTTGGACAAAGGGGGGTTGTCTCCAGGCCAAGTAGCAGACTCCATGATGGATGTTATGCTGGAGATGATAAGAAAAAATCCCCAGTCCACTCTCAAGCTGATCAGACTGGTTGTGTTCCAGGCCCAAATGCTCCCTGAATTCCACAAAAGCATGCAGAATCAAGAAACTGGACCTGCCAAACAAGAGCAGAGTACCTGGTCAAAAATCAAAAGGTATGATGTCCTTTTCTGAGGAGCCTTTAAAAATGTATTAATAAAACAGAATAGTTCAGGAATCCATTCTCATGAAGTCATGAACAACAAAGATATCAAAGTGACTCAATATATTTCTGTATTACAATTGTATGTATCACACAGCATGCCACTAATGTTAAATCCTTCTTTACTGGATCTTGGGAGAAATAAATAAAACAACATGGTGGCAAAGACTTTGTCATCAAATAGATCCAGTGTTCTTTTCTATCTGTGGACCATCACAAGCAGATGTGGATGAAACTAAACATTTCTTAGAGGACATGATCAATCAGGAACAAGTGTTCCAGTCCATCACAGACACAGTGATACTTACCTTATCAGATAAAGACAAAGAGCGAATCCAAGACCGGCTGGAATACAAAGCCCATAAAGGTTCAGAAGAAACCCCAGGACAGGCCAAACTTACAGTACAAGGTCTCAGTCGAGATGTTCTAAAAGCCATTCAGGAAATGTTCTCAAAACAGCCAAAGAAAAGAGGATGCTACAAAAAGAAATGAATTACACAAGTGAGCTTGTGATTGGCAGTATGAACAAGAATTATAAGCATTTTGATCAATGTACAAATTTTGATTTGGAAAAGGCCCTTGACAGACAAGCTGCAGACATCCGAATTTCCTTCCAAGGCCAAATTTACCAGGTCACACTGCCTGAGATATATATATATATAATTAATTAAAATGAATAAATCTATAAATGATTATATTGCACTAGATCTAATGGTGTAGATTTTACTACCATATTAAATAACTAGATGTTTTTCTCCATTAGCTACTGAGGATATTCCACAGCATTGGAATGCAATGGCGTGTAATTGTAACGAGACGTCAACTGAGTGAGGATCTATCTGCAGCTTTATTGAAATCGTGATCAAACAGGCAAGGTCAGACACCAGCAAACACAGCAACTTTTTTCTGTATTTTTGATCTCAGGGGCGTGCAAAAATGGTCGGGGCAGGCCGCAAACAATCAGTAGTCCAAGAACAATAGCAAGAGTTCGTGAATCAACAGATAGGCCAGACACGGGAAGACATGTGCACCGGGGCAATACAAGACTTCGCAATCAGGGAGAGTCTGAGATCTGGTTAAATAGTCCACATAACGAGTGTCAGGTGCAGGAGCAATCAGAGCCAGGCATGTGAGTCTGTGTGTGTGTGTGTGTGTGTGTGTGTGTGTATAGTCCGGATAAAGTTCAAAACTCGGGAGAGAGCTCCCTCTGGTGGTGAGCGGGAGGCACGGCGGGATTCTCGTTCGTGACACTAATGAGCTGTGCAAAAAGTTTAATTTGCAACCAACCAGAGTACGTATTTATGTATGTATTTATTTATATTTTTCAATTAGATCTACAGGACCGAACATTGTTCAACTAAATCAGCATATTAGAATTAGATTTCTGAAGGATCATGTGACACTGAAGAATGGAGTGATGGCTGATGAAAATATAGCTTTGCATCACAGGAATAAATTAGATTTTTAGAATTGCAATAATATTTCATAATAAACTTTTTTCTGTATTTTTGATCATATGAATGCAGCCTTGATGAGCATAAAAACATCTTTAAAAAACGTCATACTGATCCCAAACTTTTGAATGGCAGTGTATACACACATACACACACACACACACACACACACACACATATATATATACAGGACTGAACATTGCTAACTAAAATAAACTTTCCTAAAATATTATTTTTGTGTGCTAACTGAACAGTGCATTCAATTTTAGAGGATTTCAAGTTCAACTCATGGTGATAGATATAATTCTTAGGGTGATTGTAGGTAGATCAAATTTTTTTAATTAGACCAGCAGTGCAATACATTGTAAACCACCACGAAATAAACGCATGGCAACATCACAGTCAACTTTCATAATTGTATCTATCATGGAATTGTTATTTGTTTTTTGTAGATTGAACGAATCCAGAATCCCGCAATGTGGAAGAAATACCAGAATAACAAAAGAGTCCTGGAAAAAAGGATGTTCATCAAAACAATGAGAAAAGACTTTCATGGAACCAGTGAGCAGACTATCAGTCACATCGAAAAGAGTGGCTTTAAATCGCAGCTATGCAGGAAAAATGGTAAATCATTTACAACAATCAATTGTTCATCTTCATTAATGTTTCTTGTCACAGCTGCAGTATATGGAAATGGTACTTACTTTGCACTCAATGCATGATACTCTTCTATCATTTACAACAATCACTTTAATTTTCACACTCCACATCATTCTACTTGATTTGAAGTGGTGCATTGTGTTGTTCATCTTCATTAATGTTTCTTGTCACAGCTGCAGTATATGGAAATGGTACTTACTTTGCACTCAATGCATGATACTCTTCTAGCAACACATACTCATTAACATGTACCTCTGCAGAGTCCTTACGGGAGACTACACTAAAGGAGCAGGAGGGATGATTGTGCCACCTGCAAAAAATGCCAACTGTGATCCATATGACACGGTTGTGGACAACCCTAATGCTCCCACCATTTTTGTGGTATTCCGAGATGATAATGCTTATCCTGAATATTTAATCACTTTTACTTAGTCACTGAAGATCAATCGTTTTACACATTATAATGAATTCATTTTCTGTTATTCTACTGTAATCCTGGTGCTATTTTCACTAGATATGCATGAACAAAACAATCTTCAGGCACATGTAAACAAACTGCACTGTCTGCAAATAAAGATCTTCAAAACTTCAAACTGTTTATTGTTATTTCTTACACCTTTATACAACTGATACTTTTTGCATTGCATTAGAACAATCAAAAATAATACTGTGTGTTTTAAGTTTTAAAATCAGATTTGTCTATATACGTGTCTTTGTAATAATATTTATAAACAAAAACTCCAAATTTTATATGCACATGGACAGAAAGGTTGAAAAAATATCTAAATCCAGATCACCTCCTGTCATGTCAAGAACTACTGTATCACACACACACAAATGAATTTAAGTGAAAATGAATGTAAAATAAAAAGTATAGCATGAGGTCAACATCAGCAATGAGACACAAAATGAGTTGAATTAGGAATTATGTATTCAAATCACCAAGTCAGAGTCAAAATGCTTAGTCCCTCATAAAAAATAAATAAAATAGGAGCAAATAATACATTTGTTACTAGTTCTGCTAGTTTGTCTTCTTTAGTCCAGGGAGAGTGAGTTCATACCTGCTCATCAGAGAAAAAAAAGTTAAATACATAAATATAAACCATCTAACTTAAACCTTACAAAGACAAGTACATAAAAGAGTGCATTAGTGCCAACTTGCTGGGTTTTGAAAGTATTTTTCTATTCATTTTTCCCATAAGGATTTTTAAAAAGTCTTATTTAAAGCATTATAAGCCATGAACCAAACCAACCAGCTATGAGCTTAATATAATAATACAGCTTCATAAATTGTCATTAAAAATCAGTTTCTCTATGGAGAAAATTACGTTTTTATTTCCGGAACCCAACTGATGCACTCAACAAAACCCCTAACAAATTTAGCTGACCACATTTGCTGTCCTTACCATTCTGTGGATCCCTTGATCAGATCCATTTCAGACATATCAATCAAAACCTTTTGAAAAAGAATAAAATGAAAAAAGTGACAGTCCCGATAATTAGAATTTTTTTTTTTGGTTTCACTTTATTTTGACAGTCCCTTTAACACATTCTGTTGACTATAAGTAATGTTGCACCTACATATCTACTAACTCTCATTAGACTAGTAGGGATAGGGTTAGAATAAGTTGACATTTACTTGAAAAGTTATTATAGTCAGTAAATGTCAGTTGGGAGACCATCGCAATAAAGAGTTAGCAGATATTAAGCAGACAGTCTACTAATAATGAGAGTTAGTAGACATGTAGGTGCAGCATTACTTGTTGTCAACAGAATCTTCAAAAGGGACCATCAAAATAAAGCATCACCATGTTTTTGGTTTATGTTTTTTCTTTATGTCCATGTCAATCCATGTTCTTTATCTACTTACCATTCCAATCTCCTTTCGCTCTCTTTTGTGAAGCATTTTATTGTTTTTTACTGCAACATCCAGCTTTCTTGTTCTTGCTTCCTCCATTGACATGGCAAACTCAAATCTGAGATAAGAATTATCTTAGAAATCTTTGAAACACTTCTAACAAAAGTTAATACTAACAAAAGATAATGCTTGGTTATCAAATGGTGAAAAATTTCTCTAACGTCTCATTGAAGACAGGGTTCACGGTCTTCTTTTTAACCGGAGTGCGCTTGCGGTGCTTCCACGTCTGATCAGGCAGCAGATACATGCGAACGTAAGTATCAGAGCCGCTCTCGCTGCAGGAGAACAGATCCCTAGGCAGCAAAATAATAGCTTTTATGAATCTTTGATCTGTGAAAATCATTACAATTTAAATAAAAAAGGAGGGATAAGCGTCTCACTTGCAGCAGCTGACAATAACAATGAGCCGCTTCCTTAAGGTGGCATAACGCAAGGTGAGAAGAACCTGCCCAAAGCTGCCCTGGTGATGCAGGATGGCCCTTTAATGAACATTTGAACTCGTAAGTTAAATCTGAAGATTTTTGTAGAATACAACATTTGTAAGCAGCACCAGATTGTACCTACTCTGGATAAGGGACATTGTCCATAAGATCGAAGCGAGAAGAAGCTATCGAGCTCTCTGACAACAGACTGTGGGAATCGTAGCGACGCATTTGACTGGGGGTGGAGGGAGTCGAACGCAGCGACTCTGTGCCAACAAAATTGCTTCGTCGGTAGTGAGGATATTCCGCTTGGAGTTCATTATAGGAGCTGACTGAAGATGGCACAGGGGCAGGAACAGCCTGTGTTCTAGAGACTGGGACAGATGAAACAGGCACTTTTTCTTTCGGGTTGCTCTGTACAGGCTGAGCTGGAGCTGGAGTTTGAGGCTCAGGACGACTTTGGAGAGATGAGACGTTTTCCTGAGCCTGATTTGGTGAAGCGACAACCTTTGGTTCCAGTTTCTCCAAATTAAGAATCTAATTGAGACGACACAGGTGTAAAGTAATTTTTTTAACCATTATCTCAACAAATATTAAAATATTATAGTCATTATGATTATTATAGTCATTTGTGTCTTCATAAACAAGAGAACAACTAAATATAGACATCAAAAACTTTCAATGTCCTTCATCTCAGTGGTTCTAAACTGGTTGGCTGTGACTCAAACTTGGGACGCAGGTCTGTTCTGATTGGGTTGTGGACGGCAGGATAGCAAAATAAATAGACTTATCAACTTTTAAAATGTAGGGGGAAAAAAATCTCATACTTTTTTAGTTGTTGATGCCAAAGGCCAAAGTCATCTGTTACTTGGAAGAAGATAGTAAAGTTAGGCAGATGTCAACATTGACAGGTTGTATGACTTGCCCTTATCCTACAAAACCATGATATTACGTAAGGTAAAAAAAACACAATACAGGTTCACTAGCAATAAAGATTTCACTAGCATTAAATCATTGTTTTTGCCAACCACAATGTATTGTAGGAATTACAATATGATTGTAACACTTTGCAGAAGGTTAAATTAGTTCAAATTAGTTAATTTATTAGGTATTATGAACTAACACTGAAAACAATTTGTACACCATTTATGAATCTAGGTTAATAAATGTACACATTCTACTGTTTAAACTGAATTTAAATTAATTAAAACAATTAAGTAATTTATGCAAATTGTAATTTAGAATTTTTTCTAATTAACCTAAATAAAAGCTGACAAGTATATTGTTATTTCATGATACCTAATGCATTAAACAATGTTAATGCATTTAATATTAAGGTTAGTAATGCATTAAGGCATTTATTTATTTATTTTAATAATGTGTTAGGGCTAAAATCCAGGTGCTGAAGAAAATAAAAAAAAACAGCTGCTGTAGTTCACTCACTCACCCTGAGAACAGCTTTCATCTTGATCTGGCTGTTGGCTCCGGAGCGCTCAAGCTGAAAGCGCTGGTCCATGGTCATGTCGGATACATTGAGCAGCCGGACCAACGGCAGAGTGAGTTTGCCCAGTGAGGATTTTTTCTCGTGTTCTTTTACCTGAGGCCACAGCATAAAAGAAAGAGAAACATCATTTTCTATATATTATATAACAATACTTATGAGTTCTTACTGTTTGTTTTATCAAGCCTTGTGTATAGAAGAACAAGAATAGTTTGTTCTTTAATACTGTAAAATAGGTTATGGTTTTATGACAGGCTTACCTCAACATTCAACACTTGGTTATTCACACTGTGCACAAAGAATGTGAAGCATTCATCATAAGTCGGGTCTTTTGAGGCAAACACAACCTTTCAGATAAAATACAAACACAGATAAAAACACTCCAGGTTCTAAATATCTGATTCATTGTGTTTAAAAACTGGTAAACAGGGAGGATTAACATTAGAATAATATTCCAAAAAGCTAAATACCTTGCTTTTTTGACTTTGCTGATCAATGGAAAACTCCACGCATGAGTTGGGATCATTAGTTCTTCTGGTGAGCTGCAATTTAAAATGGACACAAATGGAAATAAAGCTCATTAAGGTCATAGACATATTTTGATAATGTATATTCTAAATAACCATGAGATATGGTTCCCAAACTTTTTGACTTCCTATGCATTTTCATGGTCATGACCATAAATTACCATGACTTTTTCTTGACCTTTCCAGTCATTTGTGATTTCAGGATATAGATTGTTTATTTATTTATTTATTTTTTATCAAAAAATTTTTTAAAAATCTAGCACAGATTTACATTTACGTCAAGTACCAATCCTTGGAAATTATATATTTAAACAATTATGCATATTAGTGTAAAAATGTCTCCAGGGAGACAAAAAAAAAAGTCTTGATCGCAATGCAGTTCATGAATGATTTAGCTAGTGGTGCAACAAATACCACATTATGCCAAGAGTCGTTCTAGCAGCTGCAAAAAAAGAAAAAGCTTTTAATTTTGATTGAGGAGAGAATTCAAAGAATGTGCGCAGGAAATGTTTTTCACTTCTATGTCCTGACCAGCAGGTTACTCCACTAATAGGTCTGTGATCATTAATCAACTGACACGGAGGTGTGATATTATGATTAGGAGACTATGACACTATGAAAAAGACCAAGAAAAAGTCCTAATGTTTCACCTTTTAATTTGCATGATGTATATGCGGTTAACTTGATCATTTTCATAGTTGAACCAGTGGTAGAAACCAGTTGAACAGGTTGCTACAATTACAGAGAAGCAGGAACTAAAACCTGCGCCTTGACTTTATCATGCTTACAGCTAAAACGATATGATATAATCTCTGGAATGCTCTATATCCCGTGCAAGATGGCAGGAGGCTGCATTTCAGACGCATGAGATGGAATAAGAGTGAAATACCTAGATATCTAGCTTTTTGCCCCAACAACAGAAAAAAAGAAAGAAAAGCCTAAGGGGAGGAAGCCTAATACACAAACTTTCCAGAAAGGCTTAAAGGAATAAATCACTTAATAATAATAATAATTCGGCCATCAATTACTCGCTGATATAAAAAGGCCAAAATTAATTTACATTTCATCATATGGTTCCAGAAGACTACTTATGGTACGTTATGTGGTATTTTTATGGTGTACTTTTATCGAACCCTTTTGGAGCTGGTCACTATGAGTCACCATTTTATTTTTTTATAAATCTCCATTTGTTTTCCACTGCAAAAATAGCAACATACAGGTTTGGAACAACGCAAAGGTGACCAAATGATGATAGCATTTTCATGGTTCCATTAAAACTATTTGGAAAGTTTATTAGTTTACCCATATAGTTTTGCTGGTATTGATTCTGAGAGGTTTTTGGATGTGCTTCATTCTTCCCACATAAGGTCAAGGACAATAGTGGCCATTTCTTACCCGAGATTCTTTGGGTGGTTTTCCATGCTTTTCATTATGGGTGAATTCACGGTGGTCTTTCTAAAGGCAAAGAAAAATGGTAAGTACGTAAGTAAGAAAGAAAGAAAGAAAAAGAAGATGTATCACAAAATAACTCGTTCTCACATGCTGTGTTTGTGTTATGATAGACTGATATTTTTTTTAGTTGTGCTCTCATTGTACTTATATACTCACAGGCAGATTAAAGGCACTATCTAAGTATACAGCCAACATGGCACAGGCGAGCCCATCTCTGGTCTGAATGGAAATAAAGCTCATTAAGGTCATAGACATATTTTGATAATGTATATTCTAAATAACCATGAGATATGGTTCCCAAACTTTTTGACTTCCTATGCATTTTCATGGTCATGACCATAAATTACCATGACTTTTTCTTGACCTTTCCAGTCATTTGTGATTTCAGGATATAGATTGTTTATTTATTTATTTATTTTTTATCTAAAATTTTTCAAAAAATCTAGCACAGATTTACATTTACGTCAAGTACCAATCCTTGGAAATTATATATTTAAACAATTATGCATATTAGTGTAAAAATGTCTCCAGGGAGACAAAAAAAAAGTCTTGATCGCAATGCAGTTCATGAATGATTTAGCTAGTGGTGCAACAAATACCACATTATGCCAAGAGTCGTTCTAGCAGCTGCAAAAAAAGAAAAAGCTTTTAATTTTGATTGAGGAGAGAATTCAAAGAATGTGCGCAGGAAATGTTTTTCACTTCTATGTCCTGACCAGCAGGTTACTCCACTAATAGGTCTGTGATCATTAATCAACTGACACGGAGGTGTGATATTATGATTAGGAGACTATGACACTATGAAAAAGACCAAGAAAAAGTCCTAATGTTTCACCTTTTAATTTGCATGATGTATATGCGGTTAACTTGATCATTTTCATAGTTGAACCAGTGGTAGAAACCAGTTGAACAGGTTGCTACAATTACAGAGAAGCAGGAACTAAAACCTGCGCCTTGACTTTATCATGCTTACAGCTAAAACGATATGATATAATCTCTGGAATGCTCTATATCCCGTGCAAGATGGCAGGAGGCTGCATTTCAGACGCATGAGATGGAATAAGAGTGAAATACCTAGATATCTAGCTTTTTGCCCCAACAACAGAAAAAAAGAAAGAAAAGCCTAAGGGGAGGAAGCCTAATACACAAACTTTCCAGAAAGGCTTAAAGGAATAAATCACTTAATAATAATAATAATTCGGCCATCAATTACTCGCTGATATAAAAAGGCCAAAATTAATTTACATTTCATCATATGGTTCCAGAAGACTACTTATGGTACGTTATGTGGTATTTTTATGGTGTACTTTTATCGAACCCTTTTGGAGCTGGTCACTATGAGTCACCATTTTATTTTTTTATAAATCTCCATTTGTTTTCCACTGCAAAAATAGCAACATACAGGTTTGGAACAACGCAAAGGTGACCAAATGATGATAGCATTTTCATGGTTCCATTAAAACTATTTGGAAAGTTTATTAGTTTACCCATATAGTTTTGCTGGTATTGATTCTGAGAGGTTTTTGGATGTGCTTCATTCTTCCCACATAAGGTCAAGGACAATAGTGGCCATTTCTTACCCGAGATTCTTTGGGTGGTTTTCCATGCTTTTCATTATGGGTGAATTCACGGTGGTCTTTCTAAAGGCAAAGAAAAATGGTAAGTACGTAAGTAAGAAAGAAAGAAAGAAAAAGAAGATGTATCACAAAATAACTCGTTCTCACATGCTGTGTTTGTGTTATGATAGACTGATATTTTTTTTAGTTGTGCTCTCATTGTACTTATATACTCACAGGCAGATTAAAGGCACTATCTAAGTATACAGCCAACATGGCACAGGCGAGCCCATCTCTGGTCTGAAAGGTGAAATTGAATAAAAGTCCATTAAAACACCTTTACATTCATTCCAGTTGAATTTTTACATTTAAATATAATAATCACATTGAAACAAACACACACACACATTTTATGAGACAATACACCACTTAAATCACAGCGGGTATTTTAACCATCATTTATCTACACTATTATAATAAGCTTACCTCCTTCAGAAGTGCTGGATTTGAGTGCAAAGAAAACCATTGCAATTTCATATGTATCTGACCAGTCTCAATGTCCTCCAGGGTGAACCACTGCAAATCAAAGACAAAACGTGGTGAACAGCAACAACAAAAATTATATTCATATTATATCATAAAATATTTTATCACTTTTTCGATGTTCAGATCAATTCTGCTAAAGTCTTTGTTCAACTATCAGTTAAGAAGCACGGCAATTCTGATCTTTCTAAAGCTCACCTCATCTAATTCTCTGTCTTTCCTCACATCCCCACAATCCAGACTGTACCTGTGGCAGACAATCCAACTCACAATCTCACACAAAATCACATAAAATGGGCAAAATAACGTCCATGATCTGAGCAAACTCATCATTACCTGCCCAAAAAGTCATCAGCATCTGTGTCTTCGTCATAAAGTTCCACCTCCAACTCTTGCCCAGGAGCTTCATGAATGACAAACTATTGAAAACAAATATTAATGTGATCACTATTTCCCATCTGAAATGACTTTGTCCCGATAGATTGAGAATTGCTCAAAATTACCTCATAAACTTCATTCCAGCGTGGATTCAAAGTTTCTTTGATGGTCTTTGTTTTGAATTGCTTGTTTCCGACCCTCAGCACAGTATATGGATCTGACTTGCCCTTTACAAGTCCCATCATGTGCGTGTCCTTTGCTACAAGATCCCGGGCCTCCAAAACATGGACCCGTACAACACCCTAAAGATGTTCACATGGTGTAACTTATTCTGCATTTTGAAAACAGAACGTTTTTTGACTGATTTTAGCAATGGGAACCAATTATTCCCAGTCTTACTCGAGGAAGAGGAAACTTCATTTGGTCAGCCTTGACTTGATCGATCAAAGGGATGCACATGCGATTGGGCAGAACCATGAGAGAGGCGATGATATCCACAATGGCCGATTCTGACAAATGACTAGAGAGGACATAGAGAGTCAGATTTACATGGCAATGAACACTAATTATCACTTTGGTTAATTTATTGAGATATCCCTGGATTTCTCAATGGCCACTAAACTTTGTAACTGAAGGATTTTTACAGGTAAAATCTTTAATAATCCTGTAATATTTATCCCTCCCTGTACAGGAGGCTTTCATGTTATACACATTTGTCTATATGTAAACTTGTATGACAACATTCCATGTCCTGAAGCAATTTTAAAGAAGTGCGGCTAGCTAGTTTGGTTTTTCCATTGTTTTGTTTAGCCCATCCAGTTTTAACGTGACTGAGTTGCTCAAGCTGATTACAAGGTTGGCTGCTTGATAATACAAATGTAAAACATAACTGACAAAAGTAAGTTATTAAATAATGTGATAAAAAATACTTTGACCCTTATAAGATAGCATGTGTATTGAGAACTGTTAACTACAAAAACAAAAACATAAATACAACAAATGTGCATGGAACTTTCAACTGTTTATCGAGTCACTATCAAAAATAATTAAAATCTAGGAACATACCTTAGTCCTGGACCATCCAAAACATTAGTCATTCCAGTCCAATTGACTTGCAGAGCCTGGAAATGTAATTTAAAATGTTCATGTTTTGAACTAATGAACTCGTGACACTTTTGCTACTTTTTATTTTAAAGGGGTCATATGATGCTTTTTTAAAGATCATTATTTGGTGTATTTGGTGTAACAGAATATGTTGACATGCTTTAATGTTAGCCAATTGCATGTAATGTCCATACTCACAGGTCGACGAATGAAGAACATGGTGACTCCACCTACAAGGGGTGACTGGCCAATCAGAGGCTCGAGAATTACACGTAGCATTCCCTGAAGCTGAAAGAAGAAGAAAAAACACATTTATAGTTGTTAATTGCTTTCATATACAGTAACTTTTTCAATACATTAAGTTTGCTGTGCTTTGGGGACTCAGTAAAGGTCAGCAAGGCAAGATTTCATACACAGTTCATACACAATGGTAATTCAAAGTAATCACAACAATAAAAACAAGGAATTTAAAAACTTTTAAAATGATTTAAAAATTGATTTAAAATGAATGAAAACAGTTAAGAATAGAAAATGATTATACATAAAATACAGCGCAATCAGTTCGGACGTAGCACAGTGCTCATTCAGTAAATGCACAGCTGAACAGATGAGTTTTGAGTCTGGATTTAAATGTGGCTAATGTTTTAGCACATCTGATCTCTTCTGGAAGCTGATTCTAACTGCATAATACCTAAAAGCGGATTCCCCTTGTTTTGTGTGAACCCTTGGCATTTCTAACTGACTTGATCCTAATGATCGGAGTGGATTGATTGATTCTTTCTTTTTTCCTTTTTTTGGAGGAAATTAATACTTTTTTCAGCATGGATGCATTACCCTGATTAAAATGACTGTAAAGACATTTAGAATGTTACAAAATATTTATTTTTTAAAATAAATTCTGTTCTTTCTAATGTTCTGTTCATCAAAAAATGAAGTATCAATTTTTCCATAACAATAAAAAGAAATGTTTCTTTAGCATCAAACCAACAAATTATAATGATTTCTGAAGGACCATGTGACACTGAAATCTAGAGTAGTATCTGCTGAAAATTTACCTTTGCCATAGAAATAAATTATATTTTAAAATAATTAAAGAGAAAACATATTTCACATAATTACTACTTTTATTGTATATTTGAGCATACTATAAATACACCTGTGGTCTTTAAAGACTTCTCACGGACCACAAACTTTTAAAAGGTAGTGTAAATCAAAAATGTGACATTGCCTGACATAAAAGGCAACTCTTAAATTTCAACTGAAGAAAATACCATCTATTAACATTCAATTAAATTATTCCTTCACTAACCTGAAGGCCTTTGACTCCTACTTTGATGGCTGGTTTAACATCTGCATCAATGTCTACATCAGCATCATAACTACAGGAGATAAAAGGAAAAGAGAGCCTTAAAATATTTCAGGAAGATAAGGTAGCAAAACCATGCATTATATCAGTCATATATGGGTTAGCAAGATAATCTGGTGTCAAAATGAAGTTTGATGTCATAGCTCACATAATGTTGAAGTCGAGGATGACCTCTCTTGTTTCCAGCTCATGTGTGTACACTCGTACCCCTGTAATAGTTGGAGCCTGAAATGCAAATACACAATTGTAAGCTTCTGTATGACTGCAAAATATTTATAAACAGTCTATTGCCAGTTAGGGGCAACACGCCTCAGATTACGGAATCGTACCTTCTGTCCCATGTGAACTTTAGTAAAGGTGAAGGTCTTCAGATGGGGGCTGGACGATCTTACAGATGGCTGAATGTTATCAATGAGAAGCTTTTCCATGTACATGCCAAAAAACGGCCATGCTTGCTGAAGAATCTACAACAAACAAGCACATTTATAGACATGCAATAACAGCAATAATACTGAAACAGTACAATGTATAACTCCCACAGGCAGACAAATTTATGAGATTTGCCAGCATATAACAGGTGCAAATATACATCTGAGGCAGAAATCTTACCTTGTTGATCCAGGCAGCCTTCTCAACATCTGCAAAGTGAATCTATCAGAGAGAGAGAGAAATAAATAAATAACAGAGACTAATAATGAACATTTTACCACAAAATTAAGGTTCACTTGTTTAGAAATTAAAAACACTTGCGTTCAACTTGCTTAAATATGAATGAATTTTTAGCACATTAAATTCCACATAATCCTGTTTTCCTTTCAGCTTTTTATGAAATATGAATGAGATCAATCCCTAAAAAATTCAAGGTTCAATAAAAGGTTCAAAGGGCAGTTTTAATTTTATTTTGTGGTGTCATGAATATCTGTGGCCTTGACTCTATTATATCTAAATCAATTCTGAAGATCAGATATGTGATATCACCCAGATATTTTACAGAGAAGACAATAAGCAACCTAAGAACCTGAAACGGCTTGACGATTTTGGTCACAAAGGGCTAAAGGGAGAGTTCACACCAAAATAAAAAAGTCAAAATTGTCTCTCTCTAACATTCTTCCAATATCTAACAGCAGAACATCTCCTGTGAGATGTGCTGCTGTTAGATAAGAAAGAAAGATCGTCATACTGGTTTGGGATGACACAAGCACTCTCAGTTTTTGCGAACTTCCGTGTTTCCCATCCATTGGGGGTTTTACCTGCCAGCCTCGAAGTAGACACGCCTAAATTCCACCCTTTTCTGTGTGTGAGAAATAGTACTTTCGTTCGTGTAGTAAGCTGACAGACAGGATCTGCCTCGATTGCATTTGCCAAGCGATCCAAATCGATCTGTTCATGGAAGTAGAAAGACGAAGTCGCATTAAATAGTGGCTCGTGTAGCAGAGTGAGTGGCCGATATTTATTGCAAGACGATTTTTTCACTTGGATTAACTTAGTTTAAGTAGGCTATGATTTTAAAGAAACGTGCTTAAACAACATTTACATTTAGTCATTTAGCAGACGGTTTTATCCTAAGCGACTTACAAATGAGGACAATGGAAGCAATCAAAATCAACAAAAGAGCAATGATATGCAAGTGCTATAACAAGTCTCAATTAGCTTAACGCAGTACACTTAGCAAGTTTTTTTTTTATTATATAATATATTTAAAAAAACGGATAGAATAGAAAAATAATAGAGCAAGCTAGTGTTAGAGGCCTTTTTTTGCTTTTGTTAATTGTATAATAAATAAAAAGAAAACAAATAGAATACAAAAAGATTAGAAAAGCAAATTTTTAAAAAAGAAAACAAGCAGAAAATGAATAGAGTTTAAAAAAATTAAAAAATTTTTTTTTTTTTAAGAATTAGAATAAAGAGTGCTAGAGTTAG